TTCTTCTTTACAGCTGCGTAGTATTCCATGGTTAAAGGGTATAAGCTTTCTTTTGGGGAGAGGTGTTTAAAATGTTCTAAGATTGATTGTGGTGATGGATGGTTGTATACATAACTCTGTGAATATACTAAAAACCATTTAATTGTACTTTTTTCATTTTTTAAAATTTCCATTTGCATGGAATGTGCACTTTAGATGGGTGAATTGTATGGTATGTGAATAATATCTTAATGTTAAAGAAACCATCACTCTAAAGCAATGGTTCTCACACTTCAGTCAGCATTAGCCTCACCTGTAATGCTTGATAAAAATGCAGATAAAAATGTTCTAGGCCTATCAAGGTGCCAAAGGACATGAGGAACCGCATCTGCATATTGCTAAGTGAAAGAAGCCGGTCTGAAAAGGCTACATACTGTGTGGTTCTAACCATATGACCTTCTAGAAATGGCAAAACTATAGACAGCAAAAAGATCCGTGGTTGCCAGCTGTTCAAGAGGGGCGGGGAGGAGGAGGGGATGAGTAGGTAGAGAGCCACGAGATTTTTAGGGCAGAGAAACTATTCTGTACGATTCTGTGATGGTGGATACATGTCCTTATACACTTGTCAAAACCTACAGAATGTACAACACAAAGACTGAGCCTAATGTATGGACTTTAGTTAACAATAATATTCCAATATTGGTTTATCAGTTACAGCAAATGTAATACACTAATATGAGATGTTAATAATAGAGAAAACTGCAGATTGGGGTGGGAGGGGGTATGGAATCTGTACTTTATGATCAATTGTTTTTTGTAAACCTAAAACTCTTCTAAAAAATAAAGTCTATTAATTAAAAATAAAAAAAATGTTCTGGGCAAGCCAGAGGATGAGCCTGTGAAGCCAGGGAACTCTACAGATATAGGAAATGATGCTGTCAGATCAAGGGGACATTTTCATTCTGAAAAGCAATAGGTAGTGCTTTACCCTAGAGCACAAGAGGCAGGTGAGGGGAAAGAGAATGTCGCCCTCATTCAGCTCCATACTGAGACTGCTGAGCCCAGAACTGGGGCCTGAGTGGTGATTCTGTAACTGATAGGCGAGTCTGTGAGTTCTCACTGGAGGGGAGGCTCTTTGAGCCTCCTTGGTCTCCATATGCAAGTGTTGCTTCAGCTACATAACAGGAGATTAAGGTCAAAGGACTGGACTCTTCTAGGACTCAGAGGTGACTGGAAATGAGAACCCTGAGTTTGCTGGCTTGGGTGGGAGGTCTGTTTGGTTTTAGGAAACTTGGAAGGGGGAAAAGGCGTTGGGTGTCCACAGATGGGATTATAAGGTAGTGAACTGAGAGCATGGATTTTAGAGAAACATGTACATCAGAAGGATGGAAATGATGGTTATGGTTATTGCTGATTTCTCACGGAGAGATTTAAACGAAAACAACTGGGGAATACATTCTTCACCTTTGAGCGTCAGTCCAGCCCTTCGCTGGGTGTAGGCGTTCGATCTGTGAGAACAGCGATTAGCAGGAACCTCCCAGGCCATTCCCATTCCAGGATCACTTAGGGAAAAGATAGGTCTCTGGGTGTGTTTTTCCTGGAGACAGACCAATGGTAGTAATGGAGGTTGGAGAAAGTCCGCACTCTGGCAGGTACCGTGTTGCTCATTTGTCTTTAGAATTTTATATGACTTTCCCATCCGCACCAAGTCTAATAATAACAGTAATGATAGCAAAGGACGGTGTACTCGGTGCCAAACACTAAGTACCTTCATGAATGAACTCATTTAATCTCCACTACAGCTTCGACATAGCAGGGGCATTATTAACGCACTTTACAGAGACTGGGGTGTAGACGTGAAGTAATTTGCCTGGTCACAGCTAGAAGGGGGCGAGGCGAGCTGGACTCAAACCCAGGCACCAGCTCCAGAGCCCTGTCAGCTCCTCGTGGCACTGCTCCTCCACCTGGACTCCGTGGGCCTTGAGGCTGCCTCATAATGTAGACCGAATTTTACAAGAGGGAACGTGTATTTTTAACCCTTTGTATTTGCACTCTGCTTCATCCACCCGTACAGAACACAGCAGCACTGTTCATTCTCCCTGGATAGGAGAAAACAGGGGGGTGAGGCTGGACAAAAGAAAAAGATAAAAGGCCAAAAATAAGCCTCTTCTTCTTTCCCCTCTCAGTGTGTAGCAGTATCTTCTTAAGAATTTCCCACTTTTTCCAGAGGGAGCGATGATGTGGTTGGAATGTCTGTGAAACAGCACAGCTGCCCTGATGTGGGAGCTCCTGGTGTCCCCGGGGTCCGGGAGGAGTGCTGTGGCCTCCCCACTGAGCGCTCCCAGCCACCAGCCCACCCCCCAAGTATTTGCGCTGCAGCGTGGGTTGGCGGCCTCCTGCCCTGGCTCCTGCTCTGGGGCTCCTCCTGGCGAGTCTAGGACACTTTGGGCAGAGGGCCCCGCACTGAAGCTGAACGGGCTGCTCCTTTAAGGAAAACCGCTCTTCCCTTCTTGATTAAATGAGTAAATGAGTTCCAGATCCACTGTCAGAGAGTCAAGCTGTTTAAGAGGGTGAGGGTGAAATAGAAAATGTCTTAAGAAGGACACTGTTATTCTTTGCTGACTATAATAGGAGACAAGCTAACACGCCATAGAGAATGAATAGCCACGTGGTTTTAGAAATGCACTTTTAAAATAATGCTTTTGAAAACCAAATTTAGTAAACAGGGCCCTGTGCGCAGAGGGCTTAATACTCTGTTTCATGTGCTGTGGTTGTCTTCTTGAAGCACTTAATTATTTTTGAACAAGGGGCTCAACATTTTCACTGTGTGCTGGGTTTTGCAAATTATGTGGCCAGTCCTGCCAGTGAAACAGATTTTAAATCAGTATCGTGTAATTGTGGGCATTTCCCCCTCAATTTCAGGTGGGCCAGTGTATCCTGTCCAAGTTTGCAAGTCAATTTTGTGCTCTTTTTTTCCCTTTTCATGCCTAGCAGGGTGGTAAGCTCTCATATACTCACTAATCTTCGCTGGAATGTGCCAAGGTGAAAATGTGATGCTGGAAAGCACTGAACAAGAAGGCTAAGCATCAGTATTTATAAAGTAAAGCATTTCAAAGCTCACTCCCTCTTTTGGCTGGGTAGGCTGGGCATTTTGTACAGAATCTTCTCCTAAAATGGAGAAATAATGATGGGGGAGAGTCAGATTCTTGTCTTACATGGGGCCTCTAGTGGGGACATGACCCTGTCGTTAACTGTAACAGGCTGGGACTGACTTGGGAGCTGGGTCTATACTATTAAGTTAACCCAGTGACCACAACCCCAGTGCTGTGCTTCCATCCCGTCTGCCAGGAGATCCAGAGGGAGGGGTAAAGGGCATCCGAGGAAGTCTGCACAATGTGTGTGTGTGGGGGGCTTAGGCTTACGCTGACATGCTTAAGTTCATTAGGTTTGAAAAGTGCTAGAGCCAGTTGTTGGTCCCCTTCTCTTGGCAGAGATGCTGTTACTCCAGCCAATGTCATTGAGGTGAACCAAGGAGAAGTCCATGGCCTTCCTTTGTTTTTCAGGCCATAATATGGGAATCAATACCATGAGCATATTCCACTGCAGGAACACACTGTGTGTGGTATTTCTTATAAAGCAGATGGAAGGAGTTGACCAGAAAGCAAGGATGTATTGTCAGGCACTCAGCTACAGGAGCCCAGTTGACAGCAGGAAACTGGGAGAGTCCTAGTGTGGGCAGTGGGGCGAGGACTGGGGCAGTGGCCAGACATCCTGAAGGACTGGGAGGAAGTCCAGTCTATGGATCAGGAGGCAGCAGCAAGCACTTGGGTCCACACTGGGAGTTACTTTGGGCAGGGCCCACCCGCACAAGGTGAGGCAGGTAAGGAGACCTGGGCGAGGCGGAGAGAAATGAGGGAACCCAGAAGGAGGTGGTACTGCCACATTGTGTCTACAGATGCCAAGATGCTGGTTTCTGGGGAAGTGAGGAAGCTCTTAAGAGCAGGGCAGGACTTGGAGTGCACTACGCTGGCTGTCAAGACAGGGAATCGGACATAGAAATCCAAGGCAGAAGCCCAAGTTACCATGACTTAGATGGAGCCCCATTGGTAGCAGAGATGGCTTGATGGAGAGCCTGGGAGGTTTGGGTGGGGCTCCTGAAATCTTTCTATTCTATGACCAGAATTTNGATAAAAAATCTGTGGGACATATACACCACGGAATACTACGCAGCAGTAAAGAAGGATCTCGTACCCTTTGGGACAGCATGGATGGACCTGGAGAATATTATGCTAAGCTAAATAAGCTAGGCAGAGGAAGACAAAGATCACATGATCTCGCTTATATGTGGAATCTAAAGAACATAATAAAACTGATGAACAGAGTAGATTGAATGACATGGAAGCATGGATCAGGCTGATGAATGTCAGAATGATGGAGGAGGGTGGGTGGGTGGAGGGGGAGAGAGTAACCAAAGAATTTATATGCATATATGCACAACTCAAAGACACGAACAATGGTGGGGAGAGGGACTGGGGAGAGGGAGGGGATGGGGTGGAATGGGTCATTGGGGAGAAAAAGGGACATCTGTAATATTTTAAACAAAAATAAAATAAAAATAAAAATAAAATAAAAAACAAATAAAAAAACAAAAAAAATAATTCTAGATATTGAGACAAAGATAAAACTTCAAGTGAGGAGGAAGAAGAGACACAGTCGCTGAGAAGTGGGTAGACCTGCCTGGGGGAGTGACTTTTCACATACATTAATTTTCTTCAGTGGTTCTAGCAGATATAAGCATTATTTATATTCTCATTTTATACCTGAGGAATCAGAGATGGAAATGGAAGTGCTGATGGTTAATGGACTCATCCTGCCTGGGCGTTTGGGGCCCTTTCCAACACCATCATCTTTGTGTCCTTGGCTTAGACTAGATAACTTCATGAAGTTGCTTTGGTTGTGGTTGTAGCAGAGTGGTGGAGAGCATAGCCTCTAGAGCCAGACTACCTGGCTTTTTATCCCAGCTCCATCCATCTCTTCTGGCTGTATGTCAGTGAGTGAGTTACATGGCCTCTCTGTGCTGCAGTAGAAGTGAAGATGATGATAATACCTTTCTCACAATATAGTCATGAGGATTTGATGGGATGGTCTGTAAAGGATTTAGAACAGTGCCTGGCATATAGTGCTCAATAAGCGTTAATATTATGCTCTATCTAGAAATAAAATTATTTAGGGAAGCTTTCAGATGTTAACAGTCATCACTACCTACTGGATGGATGGGTCCATGGCAAGGTTAATCCTAAAAAGTAAATACTGCAAAAATCATTCCTCTTTATTTTGTAAAAGCAAGATTTTCTCATTAATTGAATTTTGACTTATAGTGAATTTTAGTGAGCGATTGCTCATTTTAGAAGCAGAAATTTTGGGTGTGAGTCCTTGCTGTACCACTTCCTGGCTTTGTGAGCTCAGGCAATTTTTCCAATATTTCTCACTTTCCTATAATGGGGATGACAGACCACCTCATAGAATTACCCTGAGAATCACATGAAATGATAGACCAAAAGCATCTTTATTTTATTGATTTTAGAGAGGAGAGGAAGGGAGAGGGAGGAAGAAATAGAAACATCAATATGAGAGATACGTTGATCGCCTGCCTCCTGCACGCCCCCTAGTGGGGATCGAGCGCTCAACCCAGGCATGTGGCCTGACCAGGGATGAAACCGGCAACCTCTCCGTGCATGTGACCATGCTCAACCAACTGAGCCATACCGACTGGGTGCTAAAGCATTTTTAAATAAAAGGATGCCATGTTTTGGATATTTTTATTCCCTGGATGCAAAGCTACTATAAGCAAGAAAAGGTCTGTAGAGTAGGCAGGATGAAGCCATTCTGGAATTTAAAACTGCAGTGCTGATAATCCATCCTAGCTTTGGATATTAATAAGTTAGTAAGGTTGCCGCATGGGTCCCAAACACAGACAAGTGTACAGTTAGTTTCAACAACTCTTGGATCTGCTTCCTTCTGTGCTGTTCTCTCAACAACAGCCAGATTGTGCTTTCGTTTATTTCCCCTCTCCCCACACAGAGCACTCAGACCCCACACCAGTGAATCCTTGCTACGATGGGAGCCACACATGCGGCACAACAGCCCAGTGCCACCCGGGAACAGGTGTAGACTACACCTGCAAGTGCGCACCTGGGTACCAGGGAGATGGACGGAGTTGCGTGGGTAAGAGGCATGCTCTCTGTGTTCCTTCACGGAGCCCTCCAGCACTGTGTTTATAAAAGACAAGAGTCTGTCTTCTTAATGATCTCAGTTGATCCGTGAGGTTAGCAGTGATTAATCTAAAGACGATGATTTAAAAACTAACCTGTATTCTGGTTAGGTTTGAGAGGACAGTTTGGAGGTGGGTATTTGGGGATGGGACTGTGAAAAGAAGACCTCTATTACAATTCCTGGATACTTTGAGTTTTTAAGTTTTGTGATTTTAAACATGTATTAAGTATTTCTCCCATTTACTAAATGGTACATTTTCTGGTTTTCTTTAGATGTCAGACACTGTGTTTCTTTCATCTATTATATCCCCCAAAAGCAGCAGTAGAAATGTCTTTACATTTTAAAAGAAAAATTGTTGCAGCGTGGTTTTCTTTTAAATGTTCAAAAAATTTTCAGAATATTAGTTCAAAATATATCTCCCTGTGGCTTATGCTTGCACGACTTGCAGTGTTATTTATGATGCAACATACACCCATAGCTGGTGCTTAGAAATCCTGCATTTCAAATCCTGTTTTGTCCACCAACTGTGAGGCCCATTAAAAACTTACCGTGGTGAGAGAACATTGAGTTTTCAGACCTCCCGCCTGTGGTGCCCTTGATGAGCAGCACTTTTCTGTTCTTATTTCTCCCTAGATGTAAATGAATGTGCAACTGGCTTCCATCGCTGTGGCCCCAACTCTGTGTGTATCAACCTGCCGGGAAGCTACAGGTGTGAATGCCGGAGCGGTTACAGGCTTGCCGAGGACCAGCACACCTGCATCTGTGAGTGCCAAAGTCAGTCCTCTCTTCGGCCAAAATGATGCTGAACCCGGATCTTCGATTCATTAACATTTCCATTTCTGCTATACAGAAGCTCTGCTCTGTGGTTTTTCTAGAAAACATACAGTTTACATTGAAATAACCCAAAGTTTTGGCTCAGTTCAGCCCTGGGTTGTTTTGTTCTGTCGTTTTTCTCTAAATAGATATTTTGGTGTTGAGATAGTGAAGGATGTTCACCTCAGTTGGGACTCCTGTGTGTCTTAGTATTTGGTCCAATCATGTAACAAGACTATGAACCTCTTTAATAAAAAACGACAGCTCTGGATAGAGGTCAAATATTTTTCAAATTATAATGAAACAGATTTATAATCCAAAGATGCTTTTCCCACTGGACCAGCCAGAGAGCTCCATCTATAATAAACCCCCTTTTCCAGGGTCCCCCACCCCAAAGTGGATCCAAAAGAACTAGAATTCCAAACTCATCCTTTTGGTAGAGTTAGATGATATTTTAAATCCACTGTTTTGAATATCTTCATGTCTAGTGTTTTAACCACACACCCAGACCGGCACTTCTTGAATTTTAATATGCATACAAGCCATCTAGTGATCTTGTTAAGATTCGTTCTGACTCCCTGGCTCTGGCGTTGGGCCGGAAAACCTGCATTCCACATGTCCTGATGCCTCCACGTGTCCTGACGCTGTTGGTGTGCAGGTCACGCTGTGAAGAGCAAAGCTCACCCATTTGCAGGCCTGAACTCCTGGACACTTTTGCACTCTTCTGTTTTCAGTGATTGCCCCACCTCCCAACCCCTGTGAGGACGGCAGCCACACCTGCGCTCCCGCCGCCCGGGCCCGGTGCGTCCACCACGGAGGCAGCGCCTTCAGCTGCGTCTGCCTGCCTGGCTACTCCGGCAGCGGGCACCAGTGTACCGGTGAGTGCCTGCGGGTCACCTTGATGAGCAGCCCCACACAGCCAGGACCTGGTCTGGAAAGGACTTCTCCCTTCCCTTGACTCACACAGCTTTGGAATTGCCAAAGCAGAAAGAGAAAAGGTGTCCTTTGAGTCAAAAACAGGGGCCAAGGGTCATCTCCCTTGGACTGGATTCTTGATATATGGTTGTCTGTGGTGGAGACATGGTTGTCTGTGTGCCTGGAGCTCTGGGGAGCCGCTGCCGACTTGTAACCTTCTGTTCCTTGGGGCCTGGTACAGGCTGGAGGGACTTTGGGACAATCATACATCTCCTGTTAGGATGCCATCTTCTTTCGGTCTCTTTGGTTAATGGCCTAATTCAGCACTTTCAGCGGTGCCTAATTTTTAGTTGCTATTCCCCTGCTTGAAGTAACATTTTAAGTAATATCTAAACATGCATATAATTCCTTTTCTCTGTTTTTTCCCTCTCTTCTCTCTCCATGGAGATAAATAGATAGGGGAACTCCACAGATATAAAAGAATATTAATGCATACCTCAGTCCTCGAGGCTTTTCTTCCAGAAATCTAACTACCTTTGAGACTTTATACACTATTTTATAAAATCACTACACCAGAATGCAGGTCTAACTGTTCAGATTCAACTTAGAAATAATGTGTGAGGTTGTTTCTGAAGAACTAGGCATAACACTGGGTATAAATGTTCAAGAAACTGAGATTAGTATTAGTTGAACCTACATAATCCGCTCAGGAGCATGTGATTGACTTGACACTCAACTTCATGCTGTCTGTCCATCACAATACACACAAATTATGGTGAAATCAGACACTGGAAATGACTGGATGGCAGGAAGAGGGTTTGGACTGGGAAAAGGTCTCTCTTGGCAACATGAACCCAACAGGCAGGCTTTCCCCTGTCCTCGAGTTGCCGCTCGCGCCTGCCACTGTGCTCCGGGCCCGCTGCGCTGGTGCGCCAAGAACAGCCGTGTGACTCCTGGGAGCGCCACAGCAGATCCTAATAACCCGGCCCCTTTCCCCTCACCAGGGGTTTGATTCTCACTTTTCTCCCATTCCTCTTGCTTTGGTTCCAGCAGGACAGGCTGACTGGACCAGCAGACCGGAGACGTGTTATTGACAGACCACATGTATCAGGGCATCACAGCCCTCCTCCCCTCTCCAGATGGGGAGGGCTGCTTGGTCTCGTCTGAATTTTGCTGTTTAATCAATTAACATTGCCTTTTCTGCACAGGAGCTGGGCTTATGGTTTTCTTGAAAGCACAGTTTATATTGAAATGACCTAAAGCTGGATCTCAGTTCAGGCCTGAGTCCCTCCATCCCCTACAAAAACAAAAACAATAACGAATATATATATATATATATATATATATATATATATATATATATCCAGCTTTAGACAGAGCTCAAGTGTTTCTCAAATTAGAATGGGGTAGATTTGTAATTCACAGATGTGTGTCCCACCCACAGCCAGCGAGCTCTGTCTATAGCAGATGGGCTCTTTACAGAAGGGGAGTGCCCTCTACAGGTAGGGGGGTCAGGGTGAGGGGCACAGACTTCTTGTTTGTGTTGAGAACCACAGTGGGGATAATGCTGTTTCCACCCTTGTGGAACTTATCCTTCAGTTTGATTTAACACACTACTGGTTCTGACAAATGATAATGTGTAGAGAAAAAAATACCGTGTCAGTAGAATTTCATATTTAAATATCTGGCTGCTCAGGTCAGCAGAAATGGTGCTTGTAAAGTATTTAACTTCCTAGGTTTTTGGTTTAAAGCAAAGTAGTTGAAATTAATTGCAACCTAGATGTGATGAGTGTTAATCATCGGAGTGTTAATTGAGGTTAGATGCTTCTTTGCCCTAATCCCTCTACAGTCATTCTCTCGCCCGTCTTTTAACTTCTAGTCTGTCAGGCAGTACTTTGGTTACTTCTCTTATTCTCTGTGTTTAGAATTCTCTCTGGAACCCACACACTTAAAAATATGTCAAACATATCAGTTGCTTCCTTGGTGTATTAATGATCTATTATTGCTGTATAACAGACCACCCCAAAATGGAGCAGCTTAGGACAATACATGTTTATTATTTACAGGCAGGGGCCTGGCTTAGGTGGGTCCTCTGCTTTAGGATTCTCACAAGGCTGCAGTCAAGGGGTCTGGCTGGCTTGGAGTCTGAAGGACCAATTGGGGAAAGAGCTGTACATGGTTATTGCAGGATTCAGTTCTTCGAGGGACTGTTGGATTGAGAACCTTAGGTCCTTGCTGGCTGTTGCCTGGAGGTGACCATCAGTATTTTGCCACACAGACCTTTCCAACAAGGAAGCTGACTTCGTCAAAGCCAGGGGCAGAAAGTCTGCTAGCAAGATGGAAGTTATAATCACAAAAAGGACATCCCCTCAGTATTGCTCTTGTGTATTGGTTAGAAGCAAGTTACTCAAGGAAAGGGGATCACACGATACCAGGAGGGAGGAGGGATCTTTGGGGCCACCTGAGGGGCTGCCTCCCATAGTCAGTTACCGTGTGGCTGCCTTCCAAGCTTTTGGACTGTGGTATTGGAGAATGGATAGTCATTTTCCTAAAGACCTACGCCATTCGTAAATCAGGTGGGGCTAATCATGAAGGTGGCTTGCAGGATAAATGTGTGTGCTTGCATGCATATGTGTGTGTGCGTGTGCATATTTCAAGGCATGTGTCCCAGTGATCATAGAGACAGAGAAAACAGGGAAAAATACAGGTAAGAGCTCTATTTTGTGGAAAGTATAAACTCTTAAAGCATACTTTTTTTATTTATTCCATCAAACTAGCAATAAAAGCATGTATGGGATTTTCTCCAGGCAGTTTATTAAAAACTTGCTTCCCTGGAGAGGGTGCACTTGGCTTCAGGTTCTCAACCTAGTCTGAGTCACTAGCAGGAACTACTATATCCAAGTAGAGTTAAATCGCTTCTTGCTCACCTCAGTCTGGGTTAATCTCAGCCTTGTGTTGGTAGGAGCTGGGTGTTTCTCAGGCACGTTTGTCGTTATAGAGCCTTGGCGACTTTGCTGGATGCAGAAACAGATTGTCTTGAGCTGGGACCTTTCCAGGGAGGCACAAGTGTGAGTTGGGAAGCTGGGTTCCAGATGGCCCATTGCCCAGAGCCGTCTGCTCAGCAGTGCCAGGAGGGGAGGTGCTTACATGATTCTGTCACAGGTTTTCTGTTCTACAGATATGATAGCGAGTAAGGTGTGGTAGAGTTGGTGCAGCCACAAGAGGAAATGAGAACAAGACTTAAAAGGAGGAAATTTATTACCCTCATAGGACCCAGAGACGAGTTCGCCTTGTGCCAGGCAGGGCCACAGCCAGCAGGATGCTGGTCCCAGTGGGTGGAGAGTGAGAACTTGTGGGCTGAAGCCTTTATTGGGTCTGGAGTGGGATGGAGGTTAATTGGCACCAGGAAATTTCATTGTGGGTTTGAAAGCAAACCAGAACGGGGAGGGGGGAAGCTAGAGTCCCTCGGTTGGGTTTGTTTTGAAGGAATTTCAGCTGGTTTTGGGTGTGGGCTCAGAATTAGCAGTGAGAAGAATGTTGAAACACCAAAGCATGAACTATGGGAAGGATTTTTAACACATTTTCCAAACAGGTTTTTTTTTGCCAGCTTAATAGATGATAGAGAGGAGAATTATGCTGAGGTTGTGCCATCTTTTGCTATCTGAGTGCTGAAGGGGCTCTACTGCATCTTGCACACTGTTGTCTTGACCTCAGTGTTCTAACAGCCCCTAAACACCCCAACAGTGATCATTAAGCATAAATGCACTCCCTCCCCTGGTGGTGCAAGGAAAGCTCCTCCCTTGGCAAGGGCCTGAAGGTATTCCCATACTTTCTCTTCAAACATCCTGTGAAATAGGGAAGGGTTCTCCTCCACGTGGAAGCTCCAGTCACCCCTGAACCCCGCAGCGTTGGCTCTCCTCAGGGGCCATAGCCTGCTCTGAGCTTGGACCCTGGGGTAGCTGACTGCGTTTCAGTTTTCTATTGTGGTCAAGCTCCTCCAAGAAGGTGTCCAAGAACTGCGCTCCAGGGAGCTTTAACCTTCTCTCTTGTGATGCTTTTAGTCTCTTCAGGGACTTTCTCCCTTTTGGTCATTTATAACAGTTACTGTCTCCCCATGACTTACTACATGTCTATGGGAAGGATGGCTGCTCTTTTAGGTCCTGTCAGAATTCTAGGCCACAGGCTTGGAGAACATGGGTAACATGGTAGCTCTGGGGAGTCCCCTCTCAGTTCAAAAATAATCACCAGAAACTGATCCATGGGTCTAGAAATAGACCCTGTGTCTCAGGAATTCCTGCTTCCTGTCATTGCCCGGCTTCCGGTGACCATGAGAAGTACTTTTAGCATACGTATTCTCAATAGCTTTCATTTCCTGCATTTGGCTGGATGTTAATTTTTATAGCTTTGGTTTTATAGCCCCTTCCAGGCCCAAGGAAATGGATGGTCACCAGCTTTGCCCAACTGGGAATTTCAATTGTGCTTTAGAAGAGACAGAATGCCAGCCTCAAGGATAACTGGACATGACAATATAGAACTCACATTCATTCAATTGGAGATAAGGTTTTTTGTTGTTATTGTTTTCATTTGGCTAATTTTGGGTTAACTGAGGAGCTAACCAGAAAACCTTGTTTGCTTCTAACATTGCAGATGAATTTATAACTACCTTTCTGGCTTTGTAGGTAAAAGGAGGGTGACCATGGAAGCCAATTGCCCATCTGAGCAGAGCTTTTCCAGGTGGCATTAAACCTGGTTGTATGGAGTATTTAGGACTTTTTTGGACTTAAGGGAGCTAATTTATATTGACTAACCTCCCCTGAGACTGAGGATAAGCAGAATGTTAATTTGCTAATTACAATGTAAGAGATTCCTCTCCTGTGAACAGGAGGTCTGTGTTGTACGTCTGGTATGTCTGCTTACTGGTACCAGGGACAGCCCCTTGGTAAAGGGAGAGTGGCTCAGTGAGAGTGTGGTCACAGCGAGGGAGACACTGATAACCCCAGAAAAGATTCCATCTGGGTCACAGGACCCTGGCAAGGAGCCATGTCTGTCCTCAGCCGATTCACGTCCAATCCAGGGCCGCAAGCCTCCTGCTTCCCGGGTCCCCTGTGTCTCTGCCCTGGGCTGCACCAAGTCATTGCAGTTCACGTCTTCGGGGATTCCTGTTTTCTAGGTGTCACACTGATCATCCCATCCCACATTTTTTCCTTTTTACACATTTTGAAAACAGTCTTTGGATGTCATTGCAGATGTGACTATTTTTAGTGGCTCCTTGATCAGACCTGCACCCTCCACCTCCTCTTAGCACAGCTTGTCTCACCCCCTGAGCATCAGTTTTAGCAGTTAGGCTCTCAGAGATGGTTTCCTTTTTGTTTGTTTTGTTTTTATTTCAGAGGGCTGTGCCTTGCTCTTGTCACCATGTGTTGATTTCAGTAAATAAAATAGGAGGGATATAAGTTGCTGTTCAGCTTGCCTTTCGGTGCCATGATATTTTTGCTCATGCCCAACGGTCTTCTGAAGTTGANCCATGTGTTGATTTCAGTAAATAAAATAGGAGGGATATAAGTTGCTGTTCAGCTTGCCTTTCGGTGCCATGATATTTTTGCTCATGCCCAATGGTCTTCTGAAGTTGACTCCTCACCATTGATCCTCGCGCACTAAAGGCCCGGGAGCAGTGCCGACCGAGTACGGTGAAGTCACGCTGTCCTTTCCCCCTCCCCCCCTCTGTCCGTGTTCTGGCATTGCAGATGTTGATGAATGTTTGGAGAACAGATGTCACCCCTCGGCTACCTGCTACAATACCGCTGGCTCCTTCTCCTGCCGCTGCCAACCTGGCTATCACGGGGACGGACTTCAGTGCACACCTGGTAAGGCTCGGAGGCCAGACTAGGCACAGACAACTAGCTCCTTCAGTGCTATTTTTCTGCAGCGCTTCAGCCCACTCTCGATTTATCCAGGTCAGAGGCTGTGGTTAGTGGATCTTCAGGCTCTGGATTTTTCCCTCCTGACTGCCAGCTGCTCTGTTTGCTGATAGCTCACCGGCTATTAGCATTCTGGGAGGCCCAGAGTGTGGCCCATCCATTGTCCTACCTAGGAGCAGTCCTGGGTAACTGCACTAGCGATCTGCTTTGCCTTGATAAGTGAGATTTAGAAGAAGTATTGAGACTAAGTTTGCTAAACAGGAGTTGTGTGCGCCAGTGAGCTGGGTGCAAGCTCCCATGCGACTGCTCTAGAACTGGGCCAGCATCGTGCAATCTAGTGATAGCCGTTCACCTGCAGCTTCTCAGACTTAACCTCTGGACCTCAGGGGATGAACAGAGCTTTGCTCCTGAGTCTCTCGGGATGTTTAGACAGAAGCCGTGGTTGCTCTGCATTTTACCCAGACAGCAATAAGAGCTGGAGCCTGAGGGGAGGGGCCGTTTCACAGTCAAGTCAGCCGAGGGACTTAAAGGGTGAACTGCAAGAATTAGGGAGATATTAGGTAGTTAGTAGCAGAGCTAAAATTAGAATCCAAGGCTCCAAAATCCCAGTAACTTGCTATTTTCCCCACATTATGCTGTTTTCCAATTATGGAAGGGAAAAAAACCCCTCAGACAAGAGACATTGAAGTTGGCTCACAAACGTGGATGGGTTGCGATGCTTTTGTTCCTCTCTCGTGTCTCCTCTGCTTCTGCCCTGGAAGATAACACCTCGGGACTGACAACCTGTGAGCGTCAACAGCTTGCCGCCCAGGCTCAGCACACCTACCCAGGCACCAGGATCCACATCCCCCAGTGTGACGAGCAGGGCCACTTCCTGCCACTGCAGTGCCACGGTGGCACCGGCTTCTGCTGGTGCGTGACCCCTGATGGGCATGAAGTCCCTGGTACCCGTACTCCACCCGGCTCTAACCCACCTCACTGCGGACCACCAGGTGAGCCAGTCTGGAAAGAAACCTGGCGCCTGGTTAGGCCTGGGGCTTGAGAAGCAGAGCGGTGCTGGGTTGCGGGTAGATTATAGCCCCTGCCCACACCATGCAGACTCAGGGCTGATGACCATCCTGCTATGACACCATCCTCCTTCTTCCTAGGGACACACGAGTGATGTGTACACACCTACATGCACATTCACATTACAGGGACATAGACACATGCACACGTGACATATGTGATCATCACACACTGTACTTCAGCCTCCTGGACGCCTGGCTAGTACAAGACTAGAAGTTGAGATCGAGTGTGTATGTCAGGCTGAGGCCACTGCCCTAGACCTGTTATGCACCTTAGAGACATTAGGGCTGGAGGATCCTTCCAGACCATCGTCTGTCCAAAAGGAAAATTGCCTTCCCTTGTAACTGAATTGCAGGAGACTGTCTGAAGGCTGGTTCCCTAAGGCATTAGGAAAAATAAGTATGTCACTCATGGGTGGGTCCAGATAGTTTTCTCTGAGCTAATAACCCAGGCCCTCTCTAGCCAGCCCAACATGTCCATGGGGAAATCACCCTTGTCCCAGCTACCTTCAGAACAGAGGCAGGAACCCGTTTTGTTAGCCCATGCAGTTGGAGATGCTGACGACAAACACGTCCGCCATCATCTGACACGCCCCATCCGGATGGGGCATGGTTATCAAGGGCTCACAGTTTATGCCAACCATAGGTTGACAAGGCAGGTTTCTGCTCCTTGCTGAACTCTTCAGAGATGGGAAGAACTTTTTTTTAAATACAGAGAACTTTACTATGAAGAGTGTAGAATTGGTATGATACCTTTTTAGCCAAAATAATTCCTCTATCAATATGCTTACTATTCAAAGATCCATTTTTAGTATTGAAAAGGGCTCCATAAATACTAGTCTTGGCTTTTAATGTATATGAGAGTGAAGAACTGGAGAATTACCACCAGTTTTGATCCTTTTAATAATGTTAATTGTTACGGCCAGGACCTTAGTGATTCTAAGATTCACATAGATAAAAATTGGTAATGCTTAACCAAGCTGTATCCCTTGTTCCCACAGTGACATTCCTAGTTCCTCTTTTCTGTCTCTAAGACAGAATACAGAGAAATCCTGTGTCACTCATGCCTACTGTTTAAAAAACCTTGGTTCTAACTCCAGCTGGGATTTGAAGAAATCAGATGGTTGGGAGGGTCCTCAGGGGAATGGTTCCAAACTCTCCTAAGTTTATTAAGACAAGCCCCTGTTAAGGACAGCAATTCAAAAGGGAGCCAAGGGAATGAGAAGTTAATGACTAAAAGAGGGGCGTGTTCTTCTAGGCAGACTCTTTCCTGGGCCCAGACTTCCCTCTTGGCTGCCATTTCTGCCGGGTCTCATCTGCATAATGGGGTCAGCTTGAAGGGGGAAGGAACAGTTTTTGCCCATGATTTCAAAATATTTAAAACCCTGCCAACTAGAAACAGAGGAGAAATAAATCCATGGCTAGAGTGAGACGTCTCTTCAAATAGGAAGGAATGAGAGGGATGCCCACGGGTGAGTGAGGGGTGGTGCCACTTCCCACAGGCCGACTGCGCTGTGGGTCCGCATTCGTTCCAGACAGAGAGAGGTTCCTCACTGGGTGGTCCCCTGAACCAGGAATGGGTCCTCTGAGTTTGGAATGGGGACCTGCAGTGGTGTTGGGAACTTCTCCAGGGATCCCCCCACCCCCTTTGCAAGAGACAACAAGGGTTTGAGAAAGCAGCATTTCCCCTCTGGGTTCACTGAGACACATCTGGGTGAGGGAGTCAGAGTCTTTTCCTCTCCATCATGAGCTATGGGGACAACCTGAAGGGTACCCGCTTCCCCCAAACCTGGTGAGTCTTGTAGCTGACCTGGTTGGGTTTACACCCTGAGGATTTCATTCACCGTCTTCCTGCTTTCCTAGAGGAATTGTAGGTGCTGCAGCCCAACTATAATGTCTCCAACTTTGTTCTTTGAAGCTGTTGGAGGTTTTGACCAAAGAAATGACATGAAATGACTTGGTTTTAAAAGGACTCTTTCTGGCTGCTGGTTGAGTTTATACTGAGGGGCAGGAAAGAGGGTAGAAGCAAGGAAACCAGAAAGAAGGCGATTGTAGTAATCCTGGCCCAAGATGATGGGGCTTGGACCAGGGTGATAGGGGTGGATGTGGTGAGATGTGAAGATATTCTGAAGGTATTTTGAAGGTACAGCTGACATTTCTTGACATACGGTGATCAAGAGAAAGACAGGAGTCAAGGATGATTGGACCCGAGCAATGGAAAGATGGGGTTGCAATTTACTCATAAGGAAAAGTGCAGGGGCCCAGTTTTCATTAGTTGTCCTCTGAGATTTCTGTTATACAGCCAAATGGTGATATTAAGTAGGCACTTGACTGTCTGCTTCTACACACCATAGGCTTTGAGATGCAGAAGGTAAAAGAGGAGAAGCACGTTCTACTCCCTTTGGGTAATCCTACCATAGGTGCTATACTGTAGGCTGTTTCAGCAGCAGAACCTTCTTAGGGAACTGCCATGTTTGGGACAGAGCCTCGGGGGCCCTGCAGAAGCACTGCAGATAGAGAAACTGCTCTGCAAGAGAAGCTAGCAGGAGCTTGGGCATGGTGCTGAGCTGGGAGGGAGGGAAGAAGGGGGGAGGATGCTGGAGAAAGGAGACAGAGCGACATGATGGGAAGGTGGAGCCTATGGAAAAAGGTTCAGCTTTGAGATAAGCCCAGGAACAGCATGGCCAGGGGACTTCTAGGAACCAGAGTGTCACCACCTCTGCCATGCTCCCGTATACCAATCACAATGAGTTATACTTTCACCAGTATAGTGTTCCAGCAGACAGATACTGAGGGCCACATAGGTGGACACTCGGTAATACTTTCTAAGACAAGCACTAGCCAGCCAGGCTCAAGATCACCCCCTCAGATGCAAGTCCCAGTTTGAAACAACTGGGAAACAACTGAGGCCACTGAGCCCCACACGTGTTCTGTTAGCAGAGGCCCTGGGACTGAGTGGAATGGTCTGAGTGGGCCTCTCCTGCGGAGTGAGCGAGCCCTGCACCCCTCATCTTAACCTCCTCTTGTCCTTTCCTGTCATGGTGAGGCCTTGATGGCAGATCCTTCTGGCCTGGGAAGACAGGAGCATCAAGATGACCTCTTTTTGCCCTGGCCAGTTTGGCTCAGTGGTTAGAGCATCAGCCTGTGGAATGAAGGGTCCCAGGTTCAGTTCCAGCCAAGGGCATGTACCTCGGTTGCAGGCTCGATTCCCGGCCCCTGTTGGGGTGCATGCGGGAGGCAACCGATGTGTCTCTCTCACATCGATGCTTCTCTCTCTCTCTTACTCTCACTCTCTTCCACTCTCTCTGAAAAGCAATGGAAAAAATATCCTCAGGTGGGGATTAAAAAGAAGACCCCCTCTGATTCCTGTGGAGAGCTTAGAGCCCTTGACACTGTGGCCTAGTGCTCAGGCTTGGCTGCGGCTGCACTAATGCACAGCAGGAGGAAGGCCAGGAGGCCAGGCGTGCCACTCTTGAGCTCCATGCTGCCTTCTGTCCTTGGCTAACAATCAAAGGCTTTTTTGTCCCATCTGCTCAGCGCCCACCCAGAGGCCCCCGACCATGTGTGAGCGCTGGAGGGAAAGCCTGCTGCAGCACTACGGAGGCACGCCCAGGGATGACCAGTACGTGCCGCAGTGCGATGACCTGGGCCACTTCGTCCCCATGCAGTGCCACGGGAAGAGCGAGTTCTGCTGGTGTGTGGACAGAGATGGCAGAGAGGTGCCGGGCACCCGCTCCCAGCCGGGCACCACCCCTGCATGTAAGCACCCAGGGCAGCCCTCACTCACCCCGGCGGCATCTGAGTTTCTCTGCGGGGAGACTGTGTGTGAAGGTGGGCAAACAAGGGGCCAACAGACCCAGTGAGAGAAGCCACTGCTGTGCCATGTTGATTTACAATCTGATCCACCCGAGATCCCAATTTGGACTTAATGTTTGTTTTTGTCATTAGCAGTTTCTGGAATTAGAACATCTGGAACTCAGTTCAGCATTCAGTTACTCCCCTTCCCTGGCCCAGGGTGAAAGGGGACGCGTGTCACCCTGGGGCCCCAAAGGGAAGCTGACACAACATTGGCTCTGTTTTTTTTCCCTTAAGAAGAAGAAAACCTGCTTTGTTCTGAGGGAAATGTGTTGTCTTCCTCCCTAGTAATTGGCAGTCATTTACATAATTGATCCTTGGGAAAAAAAACACTAGAAATTAGAATTTCTTTAAAGGAACATCTGGAGCACATCTGTCTAGGTTTAAGAACTTTTGATGTTTTTGAAGGCTCTGGTCTGTGGGAAAGTAACTGTTCTCTCTCTCCACCCACCCTTGTTTCCTTTCCCCTCTGCCCCTCACTCCGCCCTCTGTCCCACGGCAGGTATACCCACGGTTGCTCCACCCTCGGTCCGACCCACCCCTCGGCCTGACGTGATCCCTCCTTCCGTGGGCACCTTCCTGCTCTATGCCCAGGGCCAGCAGATTGGCTACTTGCCCCTCAGTGGCACCAGGCTTCAGAAGGATGCAGCAAGGACCCTGCTGTCACTGCAGGTAGAAGGGGCGGCGCGGGGTTTCAGACCTGGGGAAGGGCCTGTCTTCGCGGGCCTGACACCAGCGCCGCAGAAAGCGGGCTCTCTGGTGCTGGGTCGTGTCTGACCAAGGCTGCCGCCTCGTTGGTTCCTGGGGTTTCGGAGGTTTGGAAAGGGCATTTCGGGGTTGTCAGGATACTGAGGCAGTATGGGGAGCCAAGGGAAAGCTGCCAGTCTCTTAACCCAAGCCCCCAGGGTTCTTTCAATGGCCCAGACACTTCCAGAGATCTAGAAATCAAAACGACAGGAACCGCTCCAGGGTGCGGTTTCGGCGGCCAGCTGAGCACCCCAGGTGGAAATCCATTGCTGCCTGCCTGCCTCATGGCTGCAGCCCCCGCCCTCCCGCTGGGATTTCCTCATCTTCTCTGGCTCCTTCATACATGAAGATTTGGGGAGTGTGATGCTGGAAAAGGAGTGGACGGAGCTTTCCCTAGGGGACGCCTGCCGCTTCCTGAGCCAGCAGCCTCCCTGTTGTGAAGGCCCTCCGTCTCAGAGGGACTCTTCTAAAACGAAGGAGAGAAGAGTTCACCAGAAAGGCAGTGACACTTGTAATGGAAAAGGTCTGATTCCATTCCTAAACTTCACGCTCCAGGTACCCGCTCACCTATAAGAATAGTAGTGTCCATGTTTCCGTTCACTTCTGTTGATGAACTAACTCCGTATCTGGTTCCAAAAATGGTTAGAAGCAGCCAGTGTTCAGAAAAAGATGTTTTTTTCTTCAAGATTTGAGTTTTTCTGTGTGTTTTCAGAGGCCTAAGTCACGCCAGCCCCAGGCATTAGGCAAGCAGGAGCTGGCGTGGCCTCAGGGACAGCCAGATGGCCCCGAGATGTTGGCTTTGCACATCTGCTGGGCTTCTCAAAGCAGGAATCTGGGTTGGAAATTGAATGAAGCAAGCACTGGGCAGAGCTTTGGAAGGGAACATCACAGACTCAGCATTTCAGAAAAGACTGCAATTTATTTAGCAATAAGGAAGGAGGGGAGACCTCCCTAGCCAGAAGTTGGGTGACTGCCATTCCCCAATTCCTGAACCCATCAAACTGTATACTTTCTTTTACCTAAGAGTACAACCGATGAATTGCTTTGCAGTGAGAGGCAGAGTCGGGGGTAAGGGTGACTGCACCTCAGCTAAGGGAAAGATCTCCTATGGTGGGGGAGGAGAGTAGATTTTGCTGTTCTCTGTTGGCAAATTTTAGAAAGGTTTGTTCAAAAAGTGCTGATAACATTTGAAAGGAGTCAGTTTTTACCCAGTAAAATATTAAGACCTTACTTTGCTGAGACTAACACTTATCCTCTGAATGGGCTGATATGTTTCATGCAGTCACTTTTGTTTTTATTGCCAACAGTAGTAGTGCTTATTGAGAGCTCACTGCATGTTAATTTCTGATTAGGGCACTTCACAAGAATTTATGGTATTAATTTTTTTAGCAGCCATTTGAAGTGTAGGTACTATCTGTATTTTGGAAATGAGGAAGCCAAGATAGAAAGCGTAAGTACCAGAGTCACATGGCTGGTAAGTGGCCAAGCTCGGCTTTGACTCCAAGAAGTTGGCCTCCATGTCCTCCACGTCTAACCACTCAGCTTGGCTGCCCAGAAGACAGTGCAGGGCCTGCATGAGTGAGGCAGCTGGGTATGAACTCAGGGAAATGTGGAGTCCTAATTCTTCCAATTCTGTGTTTTGGTCCACACAGGGCTCCATAGTTGTGGGGATTGACTACGACTGCCGGGAGAGGATGGTGTACTGGACAGACGTCGCTGGACGGACCATTAGCCGTGCCAGTCTGGAACCGGGAGCAGAGCCAGAGACAATCATTAACTCAGGTCAGCAGCTACACCCAGAAGACACTTCCCATTTCATTCGATTCTACGAAGTCCGTTATTTGCCTGCTTTATGTCGAAGTCTCCCGTCTATTTTCCCCAACAGGGGAGGTTAAGTTCTGTGCAAGTCAGTTTTTTTGAGCTGTACAGTAACAGCCTCTCTATAAACAAACATGTTCGTACATAAGCAATGAGAAAGTGATTCTTACTGTGGGCCCTTTCTATTGAGAAATGGGGCTCTCAGTGGAAAGGCTCACAGTGAGGACTCAGGATGCGGCCGTAGCTGATGCTGCGCGGCCCCAGCACTGTGGATGCCTGGCGCATGCAGGCTGCGCTGCGAGGTCGGTTAGTCTAGACCTGCGATTTTCAACCGGTGTGCTGCAAGAATTTTTAAAAGGTGCAATACCTGACTATTCAGTCAGGGGCACTGACCTCTCTTCCCCTTAGGTGGTCAAATAAAAAAATGCCAACACAATAGTTGTCCCGTGTGAATGAATCAAAATTATACCTATTTTTCGTCAGATGGGCAAAAAAGATATTTTTAGTGTGCTGCAGAATTTTAGTAGTTTGTTTGTGCCATGAGACAAAAAAGGTTGAAAATTGCTGGTCTAGAGGAAATTAGATGTGGCCGGAAAAGTAAAAAAGGATCAGTTTCTCCATTAACCTGATTCTTCTGACTTAAAGAGACATAAATCCGTCTGCTTCAGGTTCACGTGCTCCAGTCCTGCCTGTTTTATTTCCAGGTCTGATAAGCCCTGAGGGCCTTGCCATTGATCACTTTCACAGAACGATGTACTGGACAGACAGCGGCCTGGACAAAATAGAGAGGGCCAGGCTGGACGGCTCTGAGCGCAGGGCTCTCTTCCACACGGACCTGGTGAACCCCCGAGCCATCGCTGTGGATCCGATCCGAGGGTCAGCTGGGCCTCTGATTCTCCATTACTGTAGATCCGCATTGGAAGCCCTTGGATTTAAATGCGG